AGGATATGACCTCAGCCATTTGTAGTTGGTGGTGCTTTTTGAGATCTTCATTGCTGTTGCTATGCCCGTTTTCACCAAGCTAATCGATGTCTTTAAAATGCATGTGCCCCCGCAAGTGTAGGATGTAAACAAACAACTAAAGAACCTCAGCAGACATTCTCATATTTGTTTGCAGCACTGTGTTTCTATTTTGGTAGAGTTTGACTGTGCAGGAACATAAGTATGAGGGACAGGGAGTGCAGAGAGGGAGAATGCAATTACCAGTACACAGGGACTGTCCACTCCAAAAACGACAACTATAATTATAACTGGTAACATAATAATGTCAGAATCCACACTGATGAATAGTAACACAACAGTGGTGCCAACTGAACTGCACTGCATCTGTCTCTTTCAGAAACTGTCAGCTAGAAACGTTAAAATTGTGTATAGAAAACATTCTGTCATCTGTCATTTCATGTTTAGTCAGGTAAGTCTAGTCAGGTTTTCTTGTTACTTCACGTCCTGTCTGTCTATTTTATGTATGTCATCTCTAGTCAAGTCCCCATGTTTCATGTCATGTCTCGTTTTCCCATTTCCTGTTTTATTTTGTACTTACCTCTTGTCTTTCTCTTCAGGTCCTGTTACTTCCTCACTTTGGGTGTTTTTCCGCCATCGTCAGCGTCTGCCCCGCCCCTGATTGTTTCCACCTGTTCCCAATTCCCTCATGTTTAAATAGTCCTTGTCTCCCTTTCTCTTGTGCCAGTTCGTCGTGTTTCAGTGTGCTTCTATGTCCAGAGACCCAGCGTTAAACCAGAGAGGAGAGTTTTGTTTGTTTGAAATCAAGAAGTTTTGTTTTGTCCTCGCAAGAGTGATTTTTTGTTAAAACTTTGTTTTATTTTTTCTCATTAAAATATGAGTCGTCGCATTTGAGTCCAGTATTTTTGTACCCCGTTCTAACATCTTGGGTTGGAACTATTTTAAATAAGAATATAATTAGCATTATCTTCATATGAAAGGTCCTTTTTAAAAGGCTCAAGCTGAATGCTTGAAAGCAGTGTATGGGTATTAAAGAGTCCTGGAAACAGCAGTCTAGGGATTTTAGACCGAGGGATTTTAGACCGAGGGATTTTAGATGCCTTCAGACACCATATACAGTACTTCAAACCCTCCGTATAAGGTAACATATCCCCAGTCTTATTTAGCAGAGCTAAAGTGTTCGTACCAATGTCCCTTCTCCAATCCTCGACCCTTAAGTACGTGACCCAGTGTCATTCAAAATTCATTAAATGCACATGGAGGAGTCAAGGAGAATGAAGAGAGGAAACAGAAGAAAGAAGGCTTCCACGAAAGCAAGGATACACAGGTGCAGTCTATGAGGAAGTGTTATTGCTACATACACTGAACACAAATATAAACGAAACACTTTTGTTTTTGCTCCCATTTTTCATGAGATGAACTCAAAGATCTAAAACATTTTCTATATACACAAAATAACCATTTCTCTCAAATATTGTTCACAAATCAGAAAAAATCTGTGATAGTGAGCACTTCTCCTTTGTCGAGATTATCCATCCCACCTCACAGGTGTGGCATATCAAGATGCTGATTAGACAGCATGATTATTGCACAGGTGTACCTTAGGCTGGCCACAATAAAAGGCCACTCTGAAACGTGTATTTTTGCTTTATTGGGGGGGTCTGGGGGGGTCCAAAAACCAGTCAGTATCTGGTGTGAGGGGTAGGATTAGGGTTAGGGTTAGGGTAATGTTGTGAATTGAGTGGCCCATGGTGGTGGTGGGGTTATGGTATGGGCAGGCGTATGTTATGGACGACGAACACAGGCCACTCGATTCACAACATTACCCTAACCCTACCCCTACCCCTACCCCTCACACCAGATACTGACTGGTTTTCGGACCCCCCCAGACCCCCCCCAATAAAGCAAAACTGCACGTTTCAGAGTGGCCTTTTATTGTGGCCAGCCTAAGGCATACCTGTGCAATAATCATGCTGTCTAATCAGCATCTTGATATGCCACACCTGTGGGTGGGATGGATTATCTCGGCAAAGGAGAAGTGCTCACTATCACAGATTTTTTCAGATTTGTGAACAATATTTGAGAGAAATGGTTATTTTGTGTATATAGAAAATGTTTTAGATCTTTGAGTTCATCTCATGAAAAATGGGAGCAAAAACAAAAGTGTTGCGTTTATATTTTTGTTCAGTGTAACTAGAAATGTCATGACATGAGCCATAATAGGAAAAGAGCAAAATGTGGTTTCTGACATTTAGTATTAGAGACGTATTCATTGAGGTTACACTTCATAAATAAAAGCAGAATTAATTATATATATTTTGTTGAAAATATACATATAGAACTAAATACGATACTATACTATGAGGGATGCATTACGCATTAAGCCCAGTGACAAGTGATGCAATAGTAACGCTACAATTTAAGGACGTCGGTTAACCGTGATGCTCCAGTGAACGAGGATGTCCAATTTCCCAACCGAGGATTCCTGTGTCATTCCATCGTCCCCTGGCGTCTAACAAGTGTGGAGCAAGGAAGATATGCAAGCAATGGAAATAAAAATGCAAATTGAGGTAATTGGGTGAATGTATGCTGAACTTCTTTAGCACCACTGATATGCGTACCAGCTCACCTGTCAGTAATGGAGACATGGCGCACAGTAACAGTGATCGGAGATGTGATGCAGGAGCGAAGAAACTCACTGGAACTGTTGACAGTTGTACGAGGAAGATATCAACTACATCCAGTCATGTGCAATCAACAGCTCTCGTCAGCCACCTTGCTCTGTGCTTTATAATATATCTGTATTTTTATGATCAGTATTTTTAATATTGCACTTCACTTCAACACTGACATATTATAAAGCGGTATTGAAAACAGTTGCCCATTTATTGCACTACAGACAACATCACATTGGAAGATACTCGCTTTATACGTCCAACTCAGACTGCTGAGGCTCATCACAGAAACCCGTAACTCTTCTTAAAAATTGAAATTTGAGTGGCGTATGACTAGCAATATTTAATATTTGTTTAGTAGTAGGAATGTATTGTTTGTTTTCATTCTTTTCATAGGAAAAAACACAGAATATCACCTTAAAAAAGATATATAACCTATCCTTGACCAACTAGGGCAGCTCTTCATGTTTTGTTCATGAGGAATGGCATTTCCTTTGTTCGGACAGGCTCTGGTATTGCTGCTGCAGTGGACCACTTCACAGATAATTTCTAGACTTCGTGAGTGGTTTGTTAATGGGATGTGTGGGGGGTGTAACAAATTCACAGTGTGCCCACTTCTCCAGTTACCACCACATGAGTTAGTACAGCATCCCTGCAGGAGTGGGTTCTTTCATCTCTGCAGGACCAGACTGCACTCACACTGAAGCTCAGTGATTAAAAGCTCTCACTTCAGATTGTCAGACCTCAGAGCTGGCCTTTACACCGAGAGCCAGTTCATTTGTCAGTAAACAAAATCCAAAACGAATTGATTGCTAACAGCACAGGACTGACAGGGGAGCTGTGAATCACTGTTGCTATTGAATCCATGTTAATTAAGCAATCATACACAAGAGGCCGTTCTTTAACGTCATTATTGGTACGACTACTGCGGCAGGACCGAGACGCTTGCGCCGAGGTCCGTACGCCTGTGCAAGCAGTTTGCTTTTCAGGCCAAGGGTATACCGTTTTTCTCAGACGCGGAGGGATACTGACTTGTTGTGAAAAGGCACGTTCTATTTGACCGTTCTTTGATCGTGGAATCAAACACGCCTATTGACCAATCAGAGAGCTTGCTCACACCTATGTGTTATAGAATATAATATAATTTAGTTCTTTGTTGTTGAACTGATTGTGATCGTTTCTTTGCTGCCATTCAATTTAAAGCCACATTGTTTTTATCACCTGCTGTCTTGTGACATAGGGAAGCTTATGTAGCAAAGAAATAAATGTATAAATGATATAGCAATAACAATTTTATTTAAAACAATGTTTCAGATGCGCATAAAGGCACCGCAGCAAGAGAGCAGAACACAGACATGTTTCGAGCTCAGCGCTCCTCCTCAGGCATCTGCGACCACAGAGCAGGAGCACTGAGCTCGAAACACGTTGTTACTGCATTGTTAGATCTGCATTGTTAGATCTTAGCCACAATTATGTTTATCTGCTGCTCACTATGTGCTTTCGTTTATTCAGGCTCATATAAAGCCTCAATGACTAAATGTTCACCCTTTGCAAGCATGGAGCCTCCAATCTTTTCCCTTTTAGAGTAAACTGTGAGCTAATAAGATGTTTTCACAGGAGTTGGTTGACCGAGGCATAGCCTGAATGCCCGTAAATGAGAAAAAAAACATGTTGTTAGATGGCCAGAACCACATCTGTTATGGGAAGCCCATTTTGCTTTTTTTCTGCTGGATATGCTGCGCACAAACAGGCAATAACACTGTGTCCTGTGGGTCCTGTCCCAGCTTTGTTCACACCACACAGTGCAACAACATTTTGCCAAGCACTTTTCTTTTTATAAAAAATAATGTATTAAACCATGTGTGTCCAATTGAGATGATAAATATAATCTCCAAGGGAGCCTTGTACTAATTTCCATCAAGAAAATACATATTACTTACAATTAGGCTATACAATTGCACCTTAAAGATGAATACAAGTTTAGTGTAATAAACACACACTAACACAGTGCAGTGTTAATGTGTTGATTTATAGTGGGTCTCAGCACAGTTGAAGTGAACAATTTTCCTGTACCCATTGCACCTCGATAAATGAAACCAGGATTATTTTTCCTTTTTGTTTTACTCTTTCTGCCCCTAGAACTCAAACATGACTTCATACAGCTTTAAATAGAAGCTACAATTCATCCACCGTATCCACCATTATCATCATTCAGTGACTCATAAATATGATTACACATTTGTGAATTTGTGTGTGTAGCATGTGTGTGTATCTGTTGCTGTGTGTGTTTGTGTGTGTGTATTGTACCATGCGACTGGTCCTCCATGTGTCCCATAGTTTCGATCTGCTCCACCAGGTCATTTGAGTTCCACTGACTCATACCCAGCAGAATGGCACTTTTCCCCTCCATAACATCTGCTGGGGCACACATAGACACACCCACAACAAGTACACACACAGAGACACACACACAGAAAAACACACACACCCACACACACAAGGAGTTAGACATTACAGCATAAGACAGAGACACATTCCTCTCTGCATATTAATAATATGGAAACGTATTGTTCTTGAAGCTCCAACTGATCAAAGTTAATCAGGTGATTGTTTTTGCCTGAATACATCTCTTTTTAGGTGCCTGACACCCCCTAATTAGCTTTAAAACCTGTGTTGCAGAACATTTACACCTTTGAACCCGACCAGTTGTGATTTACTTACAAAAACATCCTCCTCCCTAAAAAAAGAAAGCTTAATGTGCAGCAAGTAAACAATACAAGAAAACACAACAACAACATGAGAGACAGCGTCTGGTAAACATTCACATGGCTGAACACAAATGGAATAGCTACTGTGCTGCCTTTGCCAAAGATATTATGTAAATGTGTCCAGAATGATGTTGACACATATTAATTACACCCTAAAGACTTTGGTACAACATGTTTATCAAGCAGGCCCACCAGATGTATATCTGTGTTTATCTACCCTCCACGGGAAGCAGTGTTACATCTTCAGCCACATTACTGGCTGCTGCTTTTTTATTAGCTAATACAAATTCAAAGTCATATTTTCCACACCACGTGCTGCATTATAATGAAATGAAACCTGCAGTGTTCATGTCCACATTACATGAGCTAAAAATATTTGTATACCCTGGACCTTTGGAGGACACATTGATAATGTTATTACCATGTTGCTATTAACCGTGGATATAATAGAGAAAATCAACTTCCTCAAATGCTCATATATACTTATAGTTGTTATAATAACTACAGGGCATAACCCATCACATAATATCACATCAAGATTTAATTATTCATAGTTTGTATGTGTAAATGACTGCGGGGAGCTGAAATGTGTTGTCACTGGAGGACCCTGCACATCTTTACAACTTAGTCTCTCCCGCACAGATAGCAATACAATGATCTTTTAGTACATAAAATACAGATGTTGTTTTTTTTCATTTTTCCCTTTAAACTGTGGGTTTTCTCCGGAGGTTTTTCCTTGTATGATGTGAGGGTCTAAGGACAGAGGGTGTCGTATTGTCATACTGATATTCTGTACACACTGTGAAGTCCACTGAGACAAATGTAACATTTGTAATATTGGGCTATATAAATAAACATTGAGATGTCAAAACGTCAGCAGCTGGCTACGGCCATTCTTGCTCATCAACACATTGCTCCATTGCTGCTAACAGTCAAAACATCCACAGGATATCTTTAAGGAAGGTTTATTACAGCAATACGTTCATTGTAGACCACCATCAGGTTTTTTAATTGCTTTCTCTAAATAGTGAAACATTGCTCTAAAAAGGGTACAACAAGCAAGAATAGTCATAACAGGTCCTAAACAAACCCCAGGTTAGTCAACGTTTCTTGTAAGAGAAAATCAAAGTGAACAGTGTTGTTTTTGTGTTTATTTATATCACACAATTAAGCCTGAGCAGAGGTCTAAACAGCCAGAATAACTTAAAACATGGACTCCCAAACATGGTGAACGACGTGCTCTGTTGTAGTGGAGAATATCAAACTAAAAGAGTGGTTCAACATGACCAAAAGTGTTATACGCTCGTCTGAGACTGCCATTCAGTCTGAGACAGGGTGAGTCATGCAGGGAGAAAATCCTCTACCTCTACCTGACACGACTTCTCTCCTCTCTCAAACGTTCGTGCTTGGCAGCTCTGAAAGACACTCTGGGAGTCTACACCGCCTGTCCATTTGGATCACACAGCGGTCTGTCTTACGTCACAGTTTGTCTTTTCCTATCTGCTGTCTCCCTCCACCTTTGACGCACTTTCTTCCCTCTTTCCAGATGTAACACTAGCTGTAATTAATGATGAAGGTACAGAGCGCACACACATGATTCAAACACACACAGAAAAACACAAAGAAAATGGAGAGGAGAGAGGAAGAGACACACACACAGACAGACTTGGATAGGAGCCAAGCGTCGCACGGTGTAAGTAAGCCTCTGTTTGGACAGGAGGAGAATTTAAAGCAGGCTTTACACCCTCTAAATGCAGGTTACTGAGTCATCTCCTCGAGGAGTGAACCTCGCAGACACAACATACGCTCTTGGAGGAGCAAAATGTGTTTGAGCCGAAGGAAAAAAAAGAGCCAGGTGCAACAAAAACAAATGAAATGTACAAATAATCCTGATAATGAGGCCAGGAACAATAACGCCTGGTGTGTTTGGAATACATGCAAAATCAAATTTGAACAACAGAAGAAAAAAGACAAGTGGGATCTGCCTACAGCCAGAAACCCAGAGGGAGAGAAAAAAGAGATTTAGAAACATCCTTCAACCTGTCAGCTCACGGTGAGTAAGTGTCAAGTGGAATAGAGAGAAATGGATGCTGCGATTTTTGAACAATGAGAAAATGACCTCAGGTGATCTCTATCACTTACAATTGTTTTGTTGGCGCTGCATTCTCTGTTTCTTGATCTTACCATCCTGCATTAGTTGGAATTAGCATTGGAATTACTAACACACAACCTCTGGTATTATTTTTAGGCTCCTTCAACTCCCGCTGCACTATAAAAAGATTGCTGAGGGAATGGGGATTATCCTCTAAAATGGCGTAAACAGTCTGTCAGGTGGCTACTAGGCTAGCAAAGATGGATGGCCTTAAAAACACCATGACTACAGCTCATAAGCATATATCATAATAATATGTGTGTAATCTGAAAATTGGATAAAATAATAGGGAAGATAATTTACACAAGAAATTGTGTGGAACTTTTACTGTTACGATCTGTCTGTGTTGTGTTTTGTCTTTTTCTGTCTTTGGTTTCCTGTTTTATTTTGTAAAAGTGTTCACCTCCTGTTTTGCCTGTTGCTTTCTGTCTGTTTTGCCTCCCTGATTACCCGATTGTGTTCACCTGGTGCCCCTGTGTTTTCTCCTCCCTCCTCACCTGTCTCTTGTTTGTTTGATTAGTCCTGTGTGCATTTAGGTTCTGTGTTTTCTGTTAGTCTTTGTTAGTTCCTTGTTGTTGTTGGACTGTGTTCACAGGGAAGAGTTCTGTTTGTTTCTTTATAGCCTTGAAATAAAGGTGCTTTTTCTGAGAAATCTGCGTCCTGCCTGCTTCGCTCATCCCTGACATTTACATGTTGAGATTTAATTATTGTTTACTGTACACACACTGAAAATACAAAACCTTTAACTCATTCTTTTATGTCTTTTGTTTTGTTTGCATGGTGCAAGAAGCCTTTTATATGTTTTCAAAATGGAGTATATCTTCTTCATACATCTTGTCTTCCTAGAGCTGTCATATGGGCCACTTGGCAACACATTTAATCAAAAGCTATTGTGTATCCCACTGTTACAGATTTGTTTTTATAGCCTGCTCCTTAAAACAGCAGCTCTTCATGTACAGTATGTTTATTTGATACAGCTTATTTTATGTGGAAATTCTGCATGTGGCCTGAATACTTTCACATAGGTGGCCTGTTTTCTTTGTATTATTTTAATAGAAAGATCATGGTTATTTGAACACACTTTCTATGTTATAGAAAGTAGATGTTATCTAGGTTATTTCTTTGTCTTATCCTTGCTTATCGTTGTGCAGCCAATATATACGAAGCAGGTTTGTTTGTGAAGCAGTTTCATTCAAATCAAACCCTGCAGCAACTGATTTTCCCCATAAACACATCTTCAATGGGAGAAGAAGGAGTAATCAGTGAAATGGCCACCTGCAGGGACCGCTTCACAATGAGAAATGTATTGGTCCGTGGGTCAAATCCACTCAAGCTGATGTTGAGTGTTAGCAACACGCAATTTACGTACTGTTCCAACACCAAACTGTGCATATTCCCAAATAGCTTACACAGTACGTGTTAGTCCTTATTTAATTTTAATCTTGTAGGACATGGAATACCACCAAAGTGTAAAAGCTGAATAATGCTGGTTAAAACACTCCCAAAATCTGAAACACAGCCAAAATGTAATCAACAAACAGAGAGGTTTACTGGTAGACAAAATACAAATGATACATTCAAAAATGTTAAACAACATGAAACAAGATACAGGAATGTTGAGTAATACACTATCTTATGAGACTGGTTTCTAAGGAATTTAACAAAACAATTCTGAGGAGAGATGGAATAAATCTATCTTTAATTTACTCTTTCTCGATGCTGCGCATGGATAGTCATATTGATGTAGGATTAGTGAGTGAAGACAGGCGAGGGAATGGAGTAAATTACTTTAAAGACACATTGTTTCACCGAGAGCTCAGACAAACAAAATCATGGGGGAATGAGATGTGTGTCTACAGTATGTGCTCCTATACTTATGAAAGCTTTAGCGCAAGTTCAATAAGGAAGACCTAACAATGAGTCACTTACACGTCACTCTATTGCTCCCTTCCCCCCTCATTAAATACGAGGGCGTCACCCCTCAGCAGCCAATTGCTGTACACGTTAAATTCCTTAAATGCCTGCTCTTCCTCCCTGTCAGTTGTCATTTCAGGTGACCACACGCAACCCTCCTCCACCCCTCTCGCCTCCCGTCTCCTCCAGGACAAAGCTAAAACCTTCCTCCTTCAGACCGGTCCCACCTACTTATCACCACCACCCAGTGGCGGTTCTAGAACATTTTACATGGGGGGGCAAAGGGGGGACAAGAGGTCATGCCAGGGTGGCATGGGAGGGCGGACAGTACGTGGTATTTTATACTGTATATAACTTATTTATTGTTAATTCATGCCCTAACACAAGTGTTCTTAATGCACAAGAGAAACAAGGTGTTCAGACAAACAATCGGGTGCCCTTTGAGTCCCCCAAGCTTACCTCAACCATTTTAAATGAAAGGAAACTACAAAATGTATTTTAAAGCAATTAATTAATGGAACAGGTTTTTTTGCATTACAATGTAAAACTAAATATATATTTTGTTTTAAAAAAATTGGTTTTCT